TGGCGGCATGCTTTACACCACTGCATCCAACGCTTTGCATTGCACTTGGTGATGTAAGGCTTGGATGCAGCTGCTCGGCCATGGAAACCTATTCCATGAAGCTCTCTACGTACTGTTGTTGTGCCAATCTGAAGGCCACAGTTAGGTCTATAGCTATTGACTCTGCAGACAGTCGGCAACTTCTGCGCTTCAGCATGCGCTGACCCCACTGTCATTTCTATGAGCTGAAGTTGCTGTTCCCAGTTGCTTCCACTTTGTTATAATACAACTAACAGTTGACCGTGGCATATTTAGTAGCAAGGACATATCACGGATGGACGTATTGCACTGGTGGCAACCTATCACGGTACCACGCTTGAATGCCCTGAGCTCCTGAGAGTGACCCATTCTTTCACAAATGTTTGCAGAAGTGTATGCATGCCTAGTTACTTGATTTTATACACCTGTGGCCTTGGAACATTTGAATCCAATGATTGAGTGGTATCCCGATACTTTTGGCTAGGAATGCACCGCTATAATCGGCCGAAAATGGCACTTTTGGCTAAATGCTGAAAGTGTAATTTTCCTGCCAATACATCAGCGCATCCCTGCTTTCTTTCCTCCCTGCTGCCCAGTGTTTCCCAGCGGGGAGGAAACCGACAGCCGGCAGAGCCCTGCGAGCGGCGTTTCCTCCCACATTGCTCAACCTCCTATCACAGTCCAGCAGAGCGCTGTGGGGGCGGAGACAGCATGCACTGTCACAGGAGGCTGAGCTCTCTCAGCTTCCTGTGACAGCTGTCAGAGAGGAGAGTGGGTACACTCCACAATCAGAGATTGCAGAGTGTTTGAAGATAATTGAGGCGATAGTATGGTTACTATCTCCTCAATTATGAATGAATGGGAATGTTCATCACTTCCTGTTCATTCATGATTGCGATTATAGTAAAAAAAACAATGCTCTCATGTTATGAATGAACAGGAACATTCAGTATAGAGGATTCCTGTTCATTTATATTACTTTGTCCTCAATCTCTTTCTATTTTGATAGGGAAATATCAGGGGTCTGTTTAGACCCCCAATATTTCCCCAAAGCCTCTAAAAAAAGTAACAAATTAAAATGAATACAAAAATGAAAAAGTTTATAAAAAATATGACTAAACATATTTTTAAAAAATTGAAAACATTAAAATAAAAACATTTTCGGTCTGACCTTTTTTTAAATTTCGGTTTCGTTTTTTAAATGTTCATTTCGAAATAGAGTAAAAGACTTGCCAAGATGAATCCAAAGTATCCCTTCAGACAAGGCTAGCAGCAGGATTTGTACTTAATCCATAAACAAGCAGCCTTAGACAAAATAACTATACTCGTGCCATTAGTGGAGTATGGGTAGTATTCATGAACATCTTCCCCTGCACATTACTTTTTTTTGTTTTATTAGTATACCTACCAAGGCCAAAAAGGAATAAGATGACCCTCTCCAGCAGACCCATTATCTTATCTTATCTACGCAGTTCAGAAATATGCTAAAATGTTTATATTAAAACAATACAAAAACTGTACTCTGTATTTTAACCAAACTTTAATCCCAAAAAAAAAATAATAATTTCACAAGGATTAAAAGATTAGGGTGGGGGATTCTGGAATCTGTACATCAACGTTACATTTCCTTTGTGTGCTGTAGAAATACAAGCAACATGAACAAATGTAAGGTGCAATAAAATCTTCCAAGGAAGAAAAAGTCAAAGCACAAAAGATTTACAGTTTAAGCATTAAAAAAGAGCAGACTTCGATACCAAAATATTCACATAGACCTCTTCATAGACTAGAATTGTCCATATTTAAGGTTCTAGTGAAACGAAGTAAAGCCTAAAGTTTGTCATCCTGCTGGGTGGTCCAACACTGCTCAGTACTTCTGGCTAAACACCTATCACATTCTAAGTATAGGTAACTGGTTAAATTTAAGCATCTAATGCCCATGTATCCTTGGGAATGTTCTACCCCATTTTGAGTGTATACGCGCACACACCATCTAGGTTAGTACAATCGTGTAGCTGCCACAGTTGGATGGTGACTACGCACAGAAATCCCATAAGCAATAAGTATTAAAAAGCCTATGCTGGACAGGCTACTGCTGCCATGGGAGGTAATAAGGAGCTGGTATAGTCCACAAACTGAATGCATGGGGAGAACAAAATCAGGTCTCCGA